ATTGTGTGTTTGACTTGTGCTGTTTGTTATTGCTTGTGAGAAATCTGCCTGGTAGGAGGATGGCAGGAACAGAGTTTGTTTACCTCAAGAGTTAAGAGCTTCCCTAGAAGTAAAGAAATGGTGCAGATGTTTCCTCATTTTCCTGTCGCTGTTTCCTCAGTTTGAGTTTGGCACTTCTTTGTTTAAAACATGATAGGGCTTTTATAAACTCACCAAGATGATAATTGTCTTGTGGAAATCTTCACGTGTTTGTGCTCTGGCTGTGTTTATGTGGCCATCCTGATTGCAGCATCCTTTGAAGCGTGTTAGCTTTCCTTAGGTGTAAGCAAACAGGGCTAGCAATTCCCACGTTGCTTAAACTCTGGTGGCAATCCAGAGAACCACTCAGAACAGTGTACAAAACTTTATGATTTGAAGTGTTTTTCTTTCCTGAAAATTTTTCTCTCATGTGCTCCTTCCAGGCAACTGAAGATGAAATTTCAAGAATACAAGCCGAGATCGACGAGATTTTCGAAAAAGGTGACAAAGCCATCAAGGAGACCGACGACTCTACCAAGAAGGAACAGATCCGGCTGAAACTGAACGACTTGAAGGGCCGGTGGAGCTCGGTCAAGGGCGATGCGGAGCTGAAGAAGAAGACGCTGCGAACTGTGGTGCCGCAGTGGTACCAGTTCCGCTCGCAGACCGACGATCTCAACATGTGGCTGACAGAGATCGAGATCAGAATAAGGGAGTCCAAAGATGATCCCAACAAGCTACAGGTGGGTGTCTTGCTCTTGTATCTTTCTTGACTTGATCCTTTACAGATATCACTCCATTGATAAGAGTTGAGAAAAGAACATCAGATGTAGTTTCTTTGTCACAGTCCACAAGTATGGTATCAAATCCACTTTTCCCACAGGAATGTCACCCTAGTAAGACCCCACCAACCCTTGTTGTTTCATGCTTCAATCAGGAATCAAGACCCCATATCCCCCTGCTCCTACCTGCTTGCTTAGGGATTAGACAGTAAACAGAGAAATCTGGTTTAATCGAATCCAAACCCACCAGAATTTTGCTTCAGAATGTCCCAAGAATGTTTTGAGATAAGGCCGGTAACTTCCTGAACTATAAAATAGCTCTTCAATCCCTGTCTGATACATGTGCAAATGCAATGTAGATTTAGCTTCTTGCACCTAGCAGATTTACTGCCAAAGGCTTGTTTGTTTATCCCCATTTTGCCAAAGTATTTGTTATCTTTAAGAAGTGAAGATGATATACCAGTTAATCATTTATGGGCATGGAGAAGAGTCCTCTGTTACTGGTAGGAGTAAACATCTGCCAGTCCTGTGGTCATGTTGTGGAAAACTGTCTCATTAAATGTGTACATACAGAGTCACAGTCACCGTCAGTGTGTACATAGCACATACTCATAGGTGTGGAGCAAGTCCATTAACAGCCAGCTGTCAGAAAGAAACACACTCCTGTTAGGAGCTTTCCTGATTTAGGCTGACATCTCATCTCAATCCTGTTCCACAGCAGATTTGATGATTCCAAAAGAAATGGAACTAATCCCACATTGAGTTCACATTCAGGTTAAACAGGACCTGGTCCCTTTTTGGCATCTGTTTGCTTGAATGACAGTTACACAATATAGGATTCAAGTGTAATAGGCTATTTTAAGGAGAACTTCTGGGCTGTAATGCTTTACTGATCTCTGCAGCTGTAAATTGATGCCCCCTAGCAGACATGATAAGAAGTGTAGTCTCTCTATACAACCACCAGAAATATCTTGTCATTGTATTCATCATACAAGACTTCCAAGGTAAGGCCACTAGTTGCCATGAGCAATGTTTTTCTGCATCAAATCAAGATTCTTATGTCATCTTTCCAATGGACTTTATTCTCAGAGGACTTTCAAAACTATACTGTTATTCCTGTATACAGTATTTGAAAGATGTTCCAAGCGTGAAATAGCCCATAACATTGTTGCAATAGATCAGTATACACATGAGTACGTACGTAATGTTTTACTACCTTTGTGAATGCCCACTGGTATCGTATTGTAGTCTCAGTTGAGCATGATAATCCAATTCTGGCCCAGGGGTACACGTTCATGTTATTCTCGTCATTTCTCTAGTGAAGCATGCAGTGT